AGAATTTGCCTTAATTACCTCCCATTGCAAACACTTAATTAGAGGCTAAGTTTGATGGTTGCTGTATAGGTTGCTAAAATTTTCCAAGTCTTTTCCTATCAAGGAAACTATTAACAGATTACATAAATTAAATACAGCTTTGAAAGATTATAACTTTAAACTCCAAATATACTATATTATCAGGGTTAAAACAAATATAAATCTGGATATTCTTATTCTTATATTCATCGTGCTACTTATAGGCATTGCAGTACTTCACTATGAATTATTATATCCTAAAAAATAGCATATGGGAAGATCCTAGTACAAGTAAGTAAAACACTGATTACATTATAATTCTTACAAAAATTGTTTTGCTGCTTATGGAACTGCCTTAGTACCACATTTATAATTGCTCTTTCCAAAATATAAATGGTGTTTTAATTTTATTTTTAAAGTGTTTTTATAACATGTGTACTTTTTCTGGCTGTATGAAATGCATTCCTCATTCAGAAAAATTACCTAAACAACATAACACAAAACAAAAACTACATGCTAGTTTTATAACTGATTTATATTAGGTATGCTAATGCAAAAAGTTAATCAGGGAGTCTTATCATCTCTGAATCTCTCTGCTGCAACAAAGTCTGACTTTTCTTTCATTGCTGTATTTTTTTGCTGACTAAATACACTTACAAACTGATTTCTCAGAAGATTTTGTCTATCATTAGATACCAGGCTATGAATTACAACAGATATCAGCAAGTAATGAAGTTATGGCCGCACAAGGAGTAAAATACTGCTTAACTGAATTTAAGTGACTTGTTATGCATTTAGTGTTATGTCATTGTTTAAATTGTCCATAACTAGCATTTGGATACGAAGGGAGTCAGCTGTTTTGTAAGGCTAAACTCTTTCTAGCAGTCTGAAAGATGCTGGGTACACATCCCTTTAAAAATACCTAGCCATCTGGTAGCCAAAGTGTGTGTATAGTGTAAAGCAATTCCACACTAAGGTTCCCTTGTCTGAAGAGGTTGTGTGTATTATGTACATGTGTGAAGTGGGTAAAAATCATTGAAGTATGTAAGATTTCTGCTGTGGAAAGAAAATACAGGTTTGTTAAAACTTGTCAAAAGAACAATAAAAGAGATTATTTATTTTAGCATGTTTCTTTTCAGCTACCATCTGCCTCTTCTCAGTGCTTTTCCAAAAATTGACAGAATTTTAGATTACATGTTACATTCTGGAGAAAATCCAAGATATATGATACAGATATCACTCAAAGTCTTTATATTTTAAAATATTTTAAAATATGTTCTAAGATCAGACTGGATACCAAACCAGTGTGTTCCTTCCACTGTATTAGCTGATTTCTTCAGAGGCATGAGTGTGCACAAAGAAAGAGAAAAGCAGTCAGTCTTGTGGCCGGTAGTAACTGTTGAAAAAGGGAGTATCACCCCTCAGCATCATATGCTAGGTTGACATCTATATGCATATATAGATTGACCAACAACATGGTATTAATTTTTACATATATGAATTCATGTCATGTGTGAATTATGAAAGATGTGCAAAAAATGTAGTGTTATCCACAAGACATTTATGTTCTGACCAGTAGAGAGCTACAAAGGTTAGAAAGGAAATGCTCGTGATAATCTGATGACAATAAAATGATAAACTTATCTCATTGGCTACTTACATTTGTTGGGTGGTTGTTCAGCTATTTTACATGGTTAGATTTCTCCTTTGCCATTTGTCACTTTTGTGACTTATTGTGAATATTGCTGCATGGTAAAATGATCTTAAGAAAAAATTTGGAAGTTGAGAGAAAGGGCACTTCCTTTACATGATGCAGGAGAGGTTTAAACTAAAGTTTACTAAACTAAAGAAGGAAGGAGAACTTCAATCTACCCCAATCCTAGCATGTTGGTGCCAGTACCAACAAGAGACACCCAGAATTTGGAGAATGTTCAGAATCCAGCAGATTTAGATAAGGAAGAAGATCTTCACTATTCACCTACTGGGACAGCTTGTACAGAGAAGCTGAGAATGCACTGTCCCTGGAAGTTTGCAAGGCCAGGGTGAATGGAGGCCTGAGAAATCTGGTCTAGTGAGGAGAGTCCCTGCCCATGGCAGGGGGGTTGGAAATAGATGGGCTTTAAGACCCCTTATAACCCAAAACATTCTATGATTCTAGGAATCTCTTATAATATAGAGAGACAGAAAATACAGAATAGAAGTAAGACAGAAAATATACTGAAACATATATTGTTGGTAGCTGCAGTAGGTTCAGGATGGAAGGGTTATAGATCTTTGGTCAAGGAGAGGATTTGTGCAGAGACTACAAGGCAATTAGGGAAAAAAAATTGGAAGTTAATATAATGGGGAAGAAAAAGATAATGCTGCAGCTCAGAGAGCAGCTTATTTATAGCAGTTTATTGACAGGATGAGAATATTATTTTTAGCAGCATCTTTCAAATGTTCTTTAGGAGAATTACATCAGTATAAGAGACCAAAACACAGTACAATGACCAAAGGATTTTAAAGAAAGAAAGAAAAAAAAAAAGGTTATTTTTTTAGACTCAAGGCTTGGAAACATTTTTTTTTTCATTGTTCAAAGTGTTTTGATATATTTGTGCATCACAAGGAATGTAAATTGGTAAAATTAGGACTATTTGCATAGAAATATTTCAGTTATCTCTATAAAGAAATAAAAGGCTATTTAATTTGTCTTCTCTATTTCTTATATTAGAATGTTGATTGGGAAAACCCAATAATACTTATACAGAAAATAATTAATAAATTTCATTGTAAGAATAAAAATTAAATTTTCTCCTTTTTGAAATCTGTATGCTGGCAGTGTAGCTATTTGACTACCTTTGCTACATTCTTTCCACTCCTATTGACAAGCAATCAGCTGATCTGTTGGATGGAGTCTCCAAACTGCTTATGGGCAGAGATCCACCTGCAGCACCGTAAAATAACCTTGACCACAGGAGAGCTCTTAAAGCAGTTGAATGAATATGCTACATTACCCACCAATCTTTATCTCTTTAGGACCACAAAATACATTAGCCATGTGCATTTACAGGAAAATCTCAACTAGTGGAATAAAATTTCCGATCAGAATGAAAAAACTATCTAATAAATGTCTTCTCCTAAACACCTCTATACCAAAAAAGAATATTGTAATGTCTATGTCCTTCCTGAGCTAAAGGTAAAGAAAGATGTCTTAGCTGTTCTGCAAATTCTGGATTTACTTATAAGTATCATCAGTATTCTTTGATGAAAGTCTAAGAACCCAGAAATATCTAGAAAATACCAATTGACAAAAGTTGTTTTTAGAAGACACTCAACTGTTGTTCTGATCAAGTTTGTTGCTTTAGCAGTTCTCCTGTGATGAGCAGCATTGGATCTGTTGTCTTATCCTGAGATTAGATGCAGCACTGAGAAATCTGATTTAGTGGAAGATGACCCTACTCATAGCAGGGGATTGAAATTTTAGGTGGTCTTTAAAGTCCCTTCCAACCCAAACCACTTTATGATTCTGATTCTATAATCTTGTGAATATAAAATATAACACAATGTGTATCCTATTTTAAAAATATCCTACTTTAAATTATGTCTTATAAGGCAATAGCAGTGGAAAATACTTGCTCAGAATATGAGGGGGAACAGGGACAATTCAGGGTGTATAGGACCCTGCAGATGTCAGCACTTCATATGTTATCATCTGTAATTCCAAGAACAGAAATATTGATGAGTAAACTCTACACTGATATGTGTTTAACCAAGCCCAGGAATTTAAATAGGTTTTTTTCAGCTTGCTTTGCCATCCAACTACCTTCTGCAGGGCAAAGGTGATTCTTTTGGAGGCCAGAATTTCACAGCAATAAGAGTCCAGTAGAGATGCTGGAGAATTTGTCCATTCTTGAGACTAATCAAAATGAGACACATAATAAGGATTCCTAGTATTTTAATTACTTCTAGCACCTTTGTAAGTAATTTCTGTCCTCTAGAAGATGGTAGCAATATGCAGGATATATAAAACCTAACCTGGGAAGTTCAACAAGAAATTAGATGGAAAAAGAATTCCATGTACCAAACAAAATACAATATTAGTGATTCTGTCCAAAACTTGAGAATTGTTGTTTCCTTCTGACAGTCTGCTCAATATGTTGTACTTATTTGTCAAATGTTCCACAGGGTGTTTGGAAAGGAAATTATGTACAATGTGGTAAGATGTGAGCAATCAAAATGTTACATATTTCAACTTATCTTTTTGTGAGAAAGTACATGTGGAAACACAATTTATGTTAAAAAAATGTCATCCCAATATTATTTTTTGCTATGTCATTTTAATAAATTTAACTGTATCTTTTCAAAATTATTGGGAGGGGGGAACATGACAAAAAAACCCAAAACAACAAGTCAAGAACATTACAGTGATTTTGCTTTGAAAGGACATTGACTTTTAAAAGAAAGAAATACACTGATGCAGGAGGGAGAAAAAAATCAATCAAGATGGATGTCTTTGATTCTATAGATCTTAGGTGGAAAGTGTTTGGTTTGTAATCAACTTTTTTTAGCACATATTACTCCCATGATCCCAGTGTTTAATCTCCTGCAGGACTGCTCATACTCTAGAGATGTTCAGACAAACTGCATCTGTAAGGGAAGTAATAATTTTTGTGATATTTAACAGGAATTCATTTTAATTCTGAGGAAATAGTGACATTTTCTCCTACTCAGACTTATTTGCCTGCATGTTTATTGTTTTAGCTAGACACACCTTGTTTAATATTTATATTAAGTGTGTCTGGTAACAGATGAAAAAGACAGTAGGAAATTTGTTCTCTCTACATACATTTGCAAAACTGTGCATAAAATTTCTATTCAGTGAGAATTGATAAAATTATCTGTATACTAAAATTTTTGTAAATATAGAAGGTTAACTGATTTTGCTGTGGTCAATTATGTAGCTCATAAAATATCTCTTTTTGTATTTTTGTGTATTACAGGGAGTATCGTGTACCTTGGGATGATGGTGGGGGCGTTCTTCTGGGGAGGCTTGGCAGACAAGGTGGGAAGGAGACAATCACTCCTGATATGCATGTCTGTCAATGGATTCTTTGCCTTCCTTTCATCCTTTGTCCAGGGCTATGGCTTCTTCCTCTTCTGTCGCTTGTTTTCTGGATTTGGGTAAGCTCCTCTGGTTTTGCTAATTTTCACAAATCTGTGTGTTAATAAAAGTTTTCTGTTTGCATAAGCACATTATTTAGTGTAGAAATACAGTCTGTGTCTGTGGTGAGAGAATTAAGCAAGGTAGATACTACATTCCTAAATAGCGACCTGAAGGCGAAGAATAATTTTGGGGAAAAGACACAGACTGAAAGCTGTGAGATTGAGTTTGCTCTTATATTGCAAAGGATTTGTTTTGTGAATGTGATCAACTTGCTTAGCTCTTTTATGCCTCAACTTCTTTATGTACAGTATCTTGGTCAGTCAGCAAAATTACACTCTCCTCACAGGTGTACGCTAAGATTTTGATTATATTTGTAAAGTCTCTAATGTCTTTGTGTGCACAGTATTGTTTATAATACATGGTATCATGATAAATTTAAAGTGGAATCCTAAATTGTGTCAAATGTTCTTTCTGAAATATTGGAATTTATGGACCTGTGTTTTCTTTACTTTTCATTTAAATAACTTCTCAGTGATTAAATTTATAAATTTAAACTTTTATGAGCAGAGAAGGAGTTAGACAAGTAAACTGCTATGAGAAAACCTCTACCTTTACTGCACACTTGGATAAACAAGAGCTCTGTTCTGCAGACTGCTTGGTTTAGCACTTCTAGTCATTGCATGATTCAGATTAAGACTCCTAATTACAGTTCCAATTCAGACCACTATCAGTCTTTGGTATGCTGAACAGACAGGATTTGGTGAGAGTAAGGCAGTTGTGCTGCAAGGTCACACACATGAGCTCCATGTCTCTAATGGTTTGTTGCCCTCATGTTATGTAGCCATGGTTCAGCAATGCTGTTGTTTGATATTTGTGTTTTGAGAAATCCTTTGAACTGGTCTGAAGTAGGCTAGGGCTCAATACGAATACCAATAAGAAATTACCATAGCACTCAGTAGTCTTAAACTGATTTATGAAAAGGAATGGAAGGACAAGAGGAGAGAGAAAAATGTGAGGAGTCATCTAGTTAGAAGAACCTCTTAGTCTGTCACCAGATCTTCAGATATGACTTTATACGACAACAAGGAGAAATGGCAATATTCTACTTCCTGAAAACCCCAAAATCCCATAGAAAAACAAAATTTAAAAAATCCCTTCTCATAAATCACCATCAGTTCCAGGAGCTATGTTTTTTCACTCCATGCACAAACACTACAGATCATGTTGCATGACACTTTCACTCTTCTGTGATCCTGCAAAGTCAAGAAGCTTGCTGTATTACTGCTTATCCTGGCCAATTCCCTGGGACAGGTCTGGACCCTTATGCTATAAAGGTTTGGTTTTTTGCAGACCTAAAATGGCTTTAACTGAAATTGTCCCTTTTGGGATATACTGCAAAATATGTATTTATTGTGCCTCATGAGAAACTTGTCTGCACCATTTCCTCCACACCTGTCCAGGAGCTTTTGCAGTAAGAGTCAGTGCCTGCAGTTTCCTTGTGATTTATGTATGTCCTTGACTGGCAACCACATTCTCTCGTGTACCCATCTTATGATTAATGATCCTTGAAGGAGCAGGTGCTTCATATTTTTATCCTACACTTTCCCCACTCTGTTCAAAGTCCCCCTACCTCCTCTTTGAGAGCTATATGAACAGATCATAGATAATTTGTCACCATGTACTATATTTTAAATGGAGTCTCCAAAATAAATAAACCCCAAACCAATCAAAAAACAACAACAAAAAAGACAGCATGAGCTGCAGAGTTGCTCCTCATAGCAATTACTGAAGAGAGAGGTTCATGGCTGGCTCATATTTGCTGTTTTCTTCAAAGATTGGATTTTCCCCCTGAATATCTCTTTCAGATTATATCAGGGTAGCAGTGTGAAAGCCATGAGGTTTCAAAAACCTGTTTGTCAGACCCTCAAAATGAGGAAAATCCCGTTTTGACAGGGGAAACACCTAACTATTTCCAGTCAATGGGCACCTCACAAAATTGCCACAATTTCTCAGATATGGATGATAGTGGCTTAGAAACTTTGTCTTGCAATTCCATCAGAACCCACCAATGTATCTTATCAGGTCACATCAGCCTGTGCACCTTCAGGCTACTTAGATATTCTTGAGCCTGATCTCCTGCAGTGGAATTTTGTCATTCTTCCAGTTCCCCTACCTCGCCTCCTGCAGCTGATGTGAGTGGAGCTCTTTGTGATGAAGACTGAGGGGGCAAAAAAACTTGTTGACTGCCTCAGCCTTCTCCATATCCAGGTAACCAGGTCTCTGGTTTCCTTTCGGAAAAGGCACATGTTTTCCCTAGGCTTCTTGATGACATTCCACTGTGTCTGTTTTTGAGGGAGGATGCTTTGTTACAGTAATTTTGTGTGATCCAAATAGCCCAACTATGGAATTAGAATGATTTTAAGGAAAGAACTGAACTATATGTTTTAAAGGCAAAATAGTATTGTTACTCAGACTGGAGAGAAGTGGGAGTTTTCTGAAGGGGCAGAGAATTATCTGGATAATTTCTTTTAATTAAAGATCACTGAATTATTAAGTACTCAAATTATATAAAATCACTTAGGTATATAGAATTTAAACTGCTCTGTTATCTTGTAGATAAATTTAAAAAAAAAAACGGTTAAGAAGGATGAAAAATAAAATCAGGATCTGATAGAAGATTTCATTTATTTAAAAAATACTATAAAATATAGTCTTCCCATAATTGCTTGCAGTGAAAACGTGTTTATAAAAGTAAAATATTCAGGGGAAAAAAAATACCCCTTCAAATACTTTCCCCCTCATTTTTAACCTGAAAAAAACCTAAAATTAGTAAAACTTTTGTGGGTAAAAAAGATTTTAAATGCAAACCAGTATAAATAATATCAAGATACTGTTGCATAAAGAGTATTGAGACATACAAAATTCTGGAACATAAGCTTAGGCTAGACAAAAAAATGAAGAAATGTTGGAAAGGCTGCAAAATAATTTCCTTTTCTAGAAAATAATATCAGAACTGTAATTCTTCCATTGATCAATTGAAAATCAAAACTCAAACAGAAATTGAATCCAAAAGCCTGATAAAGGTCTAGGAGGGTTTAGACATGGTTTCCTACAAAGTGAAAGATCTAGAAAAGAAACTGTGAGCTGTATTCATCATTAGCCATTTGGGGAAGGTACAAATATTTATCATCAAAAAGCACCTTGTATCTGTCTGAAAATGTCAAAGGAAGGTTTCTCTGGTACAGAGCATGACTCACAACACAGCTGTTAACCTGAATGAAGCTGCAGCCTGTTGTCTGTTCAACACTACCATTGTGAAATATTATTCTCTGCTACATAGTTTTGTATAATTTTTATAAAATATTAATCTCAGCTATTAGTTTAATATTTTTGATACTTACAATTTTAGATGTAATTTTTTTAAAGTACAACAAAATTTATAATAAAATGATTAAAACCTCACTACACATTTGTCTTATCCCACTGAATTTCATTTTGTTGCTTCAAGATAAGCAAAGGTTATACAATTTGGGGGAAAAAAATCATGCTTATCCAGCCCAAATATTACTTCTGAAAGAAACCAAAGTTTTCATACAGTGAAAACTAGCTGAAAAAAATATCCTGAGGTGAACTACAATTTAGAAATTTTTCAGACAACTTGATATGCTTGCTTCTGGGGGAAAGTTATTCTTCCTTCTAAACAAAATAAAAAATGCTAAATAAACGTGTCCTACTTTAAAACCACACAGTATTTCCAGACTGCAAAGATTTCTTTCAATTTGCCAGAACTGCCAATTTGGCCAGATTTCTTCTCCAAACCAACAGAAATATTAGGAAATACACCTTAGATGTTGTTAACTGATTTAAGTAAAAGCTATTAAGAAGATTCTCCCCTGCCTGTTATCCCTTGTGAACAAAAGCCTTTCTCAAGATATATTAACATAATATTCTTTTTCCAGACTGCTTTAGAATATACTTCATTGAATCTGAGACTTACCTTCAGACAGTTTTCTTCATCCTTCCTTAGACAATCTCTGAACCTTCCTGCAGTACTCCTTCTATATTATTGGGATCTACCACAGTGCTGGTGTCACTATGGTAGAACAAAATTTGTAATTCAGATATTTTCTCAAATTCTTCACTTTTTCATGGGGAATCAGAAGTTAGCAAAAATCCAAAACTGCGAATGTAGTTTCTTGTAACTTGCAGTTTTGAGGGGTTGCCTGAGTAAGTCCACACACCCTGACTTTTACCAGCAGTTTTGTACTATGTCTAGTGGCAAAACCACTTAAGAGTTGCATATGCACCCCGTAGAAACTATGACATGAAGGGTGTGCAGGCACTCTATATACATAACAACTGCAAAAATGTTCCAACAGAGATGAAGATTATGTGGAAACAGGACAAGATTGTTGGCTTACACAAGAAGTTCCTTCAGGAACTTAAGATCTAGACCAACATGCAGCTTTCATAATTTTATGTCATCAGTATTTAGTATCATGTTGTATTTATCTTTTACTTCCTCATATCCACTTGTTCCACTGCTTTTTCATTAAGAACCTTGTGTTCTCTCACTCTCAAAATGTTGTAATCTTCTGCCTCTGATTCGTCTCCAGCATCCAGCTGTGTCCTTCCCAAGGCTATCAGTGTTTTTACACTGTGAGCTAATGAATAGCTCTGCAGGTGACTGGCTTCAAAGCTGATAGGCTGTGCCAAAAGGGATATACACTTCTCAGTGAAGCCAAGGAAGCTGTTGGCAAGGTCTGAGCTTCACAAATTGCTTTGTTTCAGTCCTTGCAGCTTCAGACATGGGTAAAACTTGGTGAGACGTTCTCAGAGAGAAGGGGGTCTTCCCTAAACCTTCTCTTCCCTTCTCTTCATTTCTGTAATAGAAGACAGCATTCTTATGAGGAAAGAAAGATTATATAAAAAGGAAAAAAGGGAAGAAAAGAACCAGACAAGGGTAAATAAAGAGAAACTATGCAACAGAAAAAAAAAACCAAAAAACAAAAGAAAA